AGGGTGAAGGCCATACAGCTGCTCAACATCTGGCATCTTCTTCAAAAGTGTGAGGAAACTGGAATCTGTGAAGCCTGAGAAGGTCAGAAGCCTTTAGAACTGAGACATCATTCATTCATCAATATGTACTAAGCACTTGTAAGATTCAACAAAAATTCAAACAGAAGGGCTTTGAAAGGTCTATAAAAGCAAATGCCACAGCTGAATAAACTGAATAAACAACAGAAAATATGCTCATCTTATTACATGGAAAATGTGTCACACATACTACTTGGTTAAGATTCCATTGCATGTTTAGCATACTTTACAACTAAGATTTTTCATCTACTGTGTCCTTTTATGTTCTGGCTATTGTCAAGGTATTTAAATCTTCACCTAACAACACATATTTAACTTAAATAATGTAGACTTACGGACTGGAGGGTGATAGGGACTACTCATCACATTACCACCCAGCCTTTTCTCCTCCATAGCTACTATTCTAGAAAACCTCGAGTTCTGCAGAACACTCAAAGTAAAAATAGGATATAATCCTCACCTCTAAGAAATTCAATGTTTCACTAACTTCACCCTATTCTAGCCATTTCCTTGCAATTGTTCTTTTATATGTGTAACTGTTACTCCCCACTATTTCAGACAGTTCATTAAAAAAAATAAAGGAAGCTGGTTGAGAAAACAAGAACAACTGAATAGGAGCAGATGCTGAGATGGTGAGAAACTGTATCTGGTAGGCCAGTTGTGCTTTGTGGCAGGAATAAACAAGATGCAAACAAAGATGGGCAAGCTTCCACAGCAGGAGCTATTGGTTAAACACATATGGAGACAAGTCACAGGCATGACATGTTTTCTATTACTGGGGCTTCAAAAGGCATGTGAAAGCCAACAGTTTGCTTGCTGATAATAAAATATTAACTAAATTAAGTGCTAAATCAAAGCACTTAAGTTTCTTTAAAAATTGTTCTATTTGTAGAGGGCTAACCCAGAGTTGCTGACTACGGAAATCACAAAGGTAAGCAGGAAGAGGCAGGCGGGTCAGGAATTCAAGGCTATCCTGAGCCCACCAAATAGTAAGTTTAAAGCCAGCCTGGCCTATAAGCAAGTCTGTTTCAACAACTAAGTGAATAGTAAGAAGTAACGATAGACATTACTTGCTCTCTATACTTACAATGGGCCCTATTACTCTTTTGTAGTGTTTACTGGCTAAACCATTTAAAGTTAACTATTTAAATGTTTTCTCATTTGCTAACAACACATCAGATAAAGTAGATTATCATCTCATTTACAAATGGAAAAACAGAATTAACTAGAAATGTTAGAATTCAAAACCTAATGTGAGCACTACCTAATGTTAGCCTCTTTTTACACATACTATAACCATCATAAATGAGGAAAGTTAGGTAAAACAGGATGTGCTTCCAAAGAGATCACATATGTGAACCATCAGATACTTCTGTCAAGATTCGAGGCTTTGGTTGGGCATGGTGGCACATGCCTTTGATTAAAGCACTATATTCTGAGTTCTGCCAGTCAAGGCTATACAATGAAACCCAATCTTAAAAAATGATTCAGGATTTAAACTCCAGACTAGGCCAGTATAGTATTACACATATTTAATGTGACCTTCTCCTAGGCTACAGACTACATGCTTCCATTTTCTATTATATTCACTACAGAAATGAAAAGCTTTGGGCTCTGGAGTATTTATTACAGTCTGAAAACTGGCCATGTGCACACAGATTCTTCCCTGATGTGGTTAAGTGGCATGATGTCAGTGCTAAGTTTGGCGCACACAGGACCTCTGCTGTACTCCAGAATCCTGCTTTCAGCCTCTGGTAAAGCAAACTTAACAGAGAACGATGGAACTATTCTCATGCTGCCTTGGCTGACTTCTTGCCTACTACAAACTGTCACTGTCTAGAAGTAGCTGAACACTTTTCCTTCGTACTGCGTCCAAAGCAACTACAGACAACTGTGTTTTGTTTCCTCTAAGCTAAGTTCTAGCCTGGCATTGCAACAGTCTTTTCGAGACTGTATATGCTGGTGACTACTGTGTATGAATGGCAAGAGTTCTGAGGGTCTCTTGAAAGGACACAGATCTGCAAGCTGCACAGTACAGTACTCTAGATGTATGTAGTCTGTTCTGTGTGTCCAGGAGAACACAACAAGGTATCTATCTCTTCAGCTTTCCATCTCTGTGCTTAGGTAAGGACTTCACTCATGTTAATGAGTTTGTCTGACTCAACCTCAATCCAAGTTCAAAGTCTTACAGGCTGAATCTTATTTTTTAAAAGCATGATTTTAAAGGAACAGCAAAACATAGTAATTAACAGATTACTGTTAAATGAAAGGCAGCCATTTTTATTGCTATTTTAATAAGGATACAAACAAAGGGCTTCTTTGGGGAATATTCATTCACACATGTATACCATGGGTTCCCCATCATCTTTTGCTCCCCCTTTCTCCTGCTAGATTCACTTTCTCTCTCCCTCCACAGTCCTCCCATTTTCATGTCATAAACTGGTTATCAAACCAACAAATAAATAAATAAGTGAAATCCCATCTATGAAACCATTTTTGTTACATTTTGACAGGGTGCAAATGTACCTTAAAACACTCTCTACTTACCACTGGGCATATATTCCCACCACCGCCCTGCACAGAGATCCACAACTCTGACAACTCTCAGATACAGAGTAACTGCTTCTTTTAGCTTCCGAGAAAGACATTCCATGCACATGATATCCTGCAGGGGGAGGTACCTTTGTAATGGAAAGAAGTATTAATCAAGGATGCATGCAGTTTCTCTCCCTCTACCATGCCACTACCCTTCAAATGATGTGCAGTCTTAGGAACATGTACAGCACTTTAAGGTGAACATGTGTAATGTCATTCAGCTTATAATTTTTTTAGTTATTTATTTTATTATTTTATGTGTATAAATGTTTTCCTAAACAACGGCTCTTAACCACTGAACCATGCTCTACCTCCATTTGGCTTTTAAGTAAATATAGGTTGGTCGAAAAATACTCAAGCACCTAAATAAAGTGCTGAACTCTTTCCATGTGACAGCTGATAAAACCTGCAATACTTCCTAAAATTTTTCATGGAAAAAAAAAAGAATTAAAAATAAGCATACCATAAGGCAAAAATGATTCAAAGAAGAAAACAAACAAAAAAAAACTCAGCACATTTAGCACATTTGAAGGCACACTGACAAGGCAAGAAAGAAGAGAGCATAAAGAATGGAGACTTGAACACAGCCAACATCATATGTTACTGTCCCTGTACTTTCCTCTCAACTATCACTGCTCCTTGAAAAGCCTTTATTTCTCCGCCAACAAACACATATGCACTAAGTTATGGCAATACTGTGACGTCCTCTCTCTTCTCACCTTCTTCCTTAAAGTCCCAACCAATCTGTTTCTAGTAACACTAACATGTACCTTTAAATAGCAGAAAACCTCACCTTGGTCTCTTAAAAGCCCTCCTCCACACACACCTAGACTGTCAAGTGGAAGCTACCTTTTACACAGTGGGTGTTGTGTCACAACTGCATTACAAGGTATACAAACAGCTACTCTGTTTGCCACACAACCCAAGTGGTCCAGTTTCTTTTTTCTCCTCTGTGCCACCCTGCCCCTAGTCCTCTAGCTAACAGCTATTGTGACAAGGAGGCACCAGCTGCAAGACTGCATTCTGTTGCCACCAGTCTCCCAGATGAATCTGCAACATAGTTCACTGATTCCTTCAACTCTACCTTTGTAACAACTATGTAACAAGTTCCAAAACTACATTATCATCAAAGTTCAGCAGAGCGTGTCTTCCATTATCTGCTGGAATCCTCACTCATCAGGTAGGTGCTATTATTATGCCATTTTAAAAGTAGTGAGAACTGCCTCAGAAAAGCTAAGCATACAAAATTGCCTACAGCTGGTTAAGTGGGAAGAGGAACAATGACAACATGCTGCAGTTGATTGTAATTCCTAAGAACCATGCTAATTCTAAGAGAAACGTCTATGCAGTATGTTGAATACTTTTCTGTTGTACTGTTTTCCTACCACTGGCCCTTCTTCAAAGCTATTTAAATAAAGAGAATAAAGTCAAATTTCCACCAAAAAACATTATTGCTAGCCATAACCTAATCAACTCTCTAGAATATGATTACATATTAAATATACAATAAAAAATACTATTTGCTTTTTAAATCAAGTTTTATACCATTTCAGTATTTTTACTGTTATCCAAAATATTTGCCTGAGTTAGTTTTATAAGTTCTGAGCAACTTTAAAAAGTAAATCAAGATTATGTTTTATCAAACTTTCCCTAGGAAAAAGAAATGTATGTTTTTCTATGATAGATGTGGTTAAAATCTAGAGTTGAAACAGCACATAGGAAGTGGGGTGGGGAAGGCAGGGGATGGGTGAACACCAAAAACATTTATTTGAAAAATAGCATAATGAAACCTAATTTTTCATAAGTTAATAAAAAAAATACTATAAAAGTATTAAGTACATTTTGAGTCAACAAAAGTAAGGTTTCTTAAGGGATACCAACTTCTTTTTTTTGTTATGTTAAGGAATATGTTAAGTAATCACTGTATCATCACAACAGGAATCTTCAGATAAAACTTTTAGAAGCCTACAAATAAAACTTAACCTATTATTTAGTTTTGTGTTTCAGGTACATAAAAGTGGACCAAAGAAAATCTCACCTGAAAATATGACAAAGCACTTCATGTGACAGCTGATTCATATAGTCCTTTGTATCATCTGCTATCATTTCCTCTGGGTCCTCACTGTCCACCAGACAGACTTTAACGCTTTTCTTCCGTGGCCCCATGCTATGCTGCCCTTAGTGTCAAAGAACAATCTCCTCTGATTTTAGTTCAAAACACCTGAAAAGCAAACAGAGTAGGAGTGTAAAGCAGCACACCACACTCAAACCCCAAATTGCCCCTATTACAAATGAGTTAAA